CTTCCCCCTGGAATCTAAGGTCCAGATAATTGCAAAGTTTCTTAAACTTTTTCCACTACCTTTTTGCATTTCAGTAGTGTTTGTTGGCATTGCACAGAGTGGTGGTATGCATTGTGCAAAGTACTAAGTGTTCCTGCTTTGTGTTTGGAATCAAGGATGCAGTGAAGTTGCAACATGGGAAAACTCTGTCAGAAACACCTCCAATTCATTACGTGTTTGATTCTTAATTAATTTTTGGTTGTGCATTCAGAAACCTTTCACTGTTGCCAAACCCCATATAGGGGGGTGACCCACAGTTTAAGAAGCACTGGTTAAGGTCTCTGTAACTGGCTTAAGCCTCTACCGGCACGTTGGGTTTTCTATCCTTAACCAGATTTCTTGACTGAGGAGGGGTAATGGAAAAAACTGGTATAGGACTGTTATTTTTCTCTATTGAATGAAAAGTACAAAGAAAGACCATTATCTTTTACTCACATACCCACTTCCCTTAAGCAGAAATAGAGGGCCGACCATATTTTTTTCAATTATGATTCATCATTTCAATCTGATTTATCAGATGGTAAAGGGATACTTTATTTGTTGCTCCTGGGGACAACCTTCTAGTCCTTTCCCTAGTGGCTCTGGAAGGTGGAGGCCCTCAGCAACTGCTCCCCACAAATCATTTATTCGGCAAGTGCCTGTTATGTACCAGGCCCCGTACAAAGACCAAAATGAAGTTGTCCCTCCCCTTAAGGAGTATATTTTTGTATTGGGGGAAACAACATATATATGAATAGTATTGGAGGAAACAATATATATATATATATATGTATACATATACATATATATATATGAATGGTTTGCATTTACACACACACACACACATATATGAAAGTAAATACAAACTGTTCTTAAATACAAGGGAATTTGGGGGTTAGCTACTGAGTGACAAGGCAAGTCTCTTGTAGGAGGGCATGCTTGTGATGAACCCTGAAGGAAACTAGGGATTCTAAGTGACAGAAGTGAATGGAGATTTCATTCCAGGTATAGGGAACAGCGCAGTAAAAGCACCCAGGTGGAAGGTGTAGTACCATCTCATGAGAATAGCCAGGGAGCCAGTTTGGCCAGAGGGCAGAGTACATTAAGTGGGGTAATTTGCAATAAGCCTGGCATGGGAGCCTAGAGCTGTGCCATGAATGACCTGAAGGTAGAAAAGAGTCTAGAGGCAATGAGGAGCCATTGAAACCCCAGGACCTTTCAGCTCCCTGAAGGGACCCCAGATCCCTCTGTCACAGGATAGCCTAGAGGGACTTGCTCAACCTTGCTTCTGGAAGGCACCTTCCAGCCATGTTCCTGTTGAGTCTGTTACAGGCAGTGATGTAATGTGGTTTGGAATAGGTGACCTCTGAACTCCTTTCTAACTCAGATTCGGCGATTCTGGAAGGCAAATGGCATTTCTGGGAACCCCACATTCCAGGACTGCCAATTTCAGCCTGTACCTCAATGACCCATACTCTGGACCAAACAGCTGCTCTGTGTTGACAACATGTGTACCCTGTTGTCTTTACAATATTGTTGTCCACATGGAGCAATTGCATGGCCCGGAGTTTGCCTTCTGGAATAGCAGAATCTGAGTTAGAAAGGAGCTTGGAGGCATCTATTCCAAACCACATTACATCACTGCTTCTAACAGACTCCACACATACTGACAATTGCCAGGACAGGCCCATCTTGGGATGACAGCATCCCAGAGGTTTCAGAATTAGCCATTTTCCTCCCTAGTAGAAAAGAGATTCTATATTTCAGGAAAGTAGACAATGGTCTCTAGGAGGTTCTGACTTCTAACTCTCTTACCTCTCACCAAAAACAAATGACCTATAGCCTTCTGCATTCCCAAAGGAACCCCACTCCTTACACACACACACACACACACACACACACACACACACACACCCATCAAGAATAGACTGGCAGGTACAAAAATATTTATAGCAACTCTTTTTGTGATGGCAAAACTGGAATGAGGGAGTGCCCATCCACTGGGGAATGGCTGAATAAGTTACAGTATATGTATATGATGGAAATCTGTTGTGTTGTATGTCAAGATATTAAAAGACACACTGTTTTCCCAGGCTAAGGCCCAGCAAGCAGACTGTGCCCTGAGCTTGGCATAACAACAATCCTTTGCATTCACCCTCTGGATGATCTCACCCTCTGGCAAAATCACGTAATTATTTATTGTATTGCTTTGACCAGCACCAGATGTTCTCTGAGCTCAGACAAGCACTGGGCAAGTACCCATGTAAAGGTCATGAAGCCCTGCTATGAATCAAATTTGTCTCATTGTTGCCATTACCCCTCATTGTCAGGGATACAGTTCACGGCACAACCATTGGTATAAGTATTGAGATCTTCCTGCACTGCCTTGGGTCCTCCCACTGAGGCAGGGTCCTGGCACATGTGTCTAATCTGCCTCTTTGCTTGCAAGTCATTTCCCTTACTTTGAAATTAAACTTCTGTTTGATTCCTACCTCTCCTGCCTCTAGTCTGCTCTGTTTGGCTCCAGCCACCCACAGGGTAGAGGCCCGTTCAATCTGATTGACATGTAAGAAATGATAAAGGGGATGATTTCAGAGAAACCTGGGAAGACCTATGAACTGATACAAAGTGAAGTAAGCAGAACCAAGAGAATAACTTATCCAAGAGCAACAATATTATAAAGAAAAAACAACTTGTAAAAACTTAGGAACTAGGGGCAGCTAGGTGACACAGTGGATAGAGCACCAGCCCTGGAGTCAGGAGGACCTGAGTTCAAATCCAGCCTCAGACCAAACACTTGACACTTACGAGCTGTGTTACCCTGGGCAAGTCACTTAACCACAGTTGCCTACACAAAACAAAACAAAAAAAAAGAAAAAAAAAACCTTAGGATCTCTGATCCATATTAACAATCAACTACAATTCCAGAGGAATGGATGATAAAAACATGCTGCCCACCAGATCCTGGTAGAGAGGTCAGGGACTCAGAGTGCAGATTCAACTGTATATGTTTTGGGACATAGGCAATTTGGGTATTTGGTTTGCTTAAAAATAAGTTCTATTTTTTTACTTAAAAATAAGTTCTATTTTTCTTGCTTTCTCAATGGGGATGATAGGAAGGTGGAAGGGAGAGGAAGCAGACTGGAAAATGAAAGAAAATTGAAGAAAGGAAAAAAATGGACTGGCAGAGAATATTGCTGATATCTTTTTAACCCTGGGGCATTTGAGGAGCTGGGTCAGAATTGGGGAATGAAGGGAGCTATCCTGGAGTAAGCCAAAACCTTTTCTTTACAGAGCCAAAGTACCACTCCAAGGAGCTCAAGGGTTTCAGCATCTTCAACCTTATTAGATCTTCCAGTGAATTCCACTTTCTTCATTTCATCCTGGGCATGGCCATCCTGTTTGTGTTCTTAGCTATAAAATCAGATTCTGCCGTTTGAGTCAATCTTGCTGGGATCAGTCAGTTTCCTCAGCTTGCCAAAACTTACATGAGCCAATTGTTTTGTTTTGTTTTGCTTTTTTTTTTTCCTCTTAAGGGCAAATTTAGCCATGTGCAGCTGAGTTTGCTGGTCAATTGGAACTCTCAACAGGAAACCTATAATGTTCACCAGTCCAGCAAAGAAATAGGTGTGTATCTCATATACCATATGCTGTAGCCTGAGAAAACTATTGTCCAGAATGCAGACAACAGCTTTCTCAGTCGGAAAGGTTCATGAACGCATACATTAAACCCACATGTAATTGATGGCATAATAAAAACTGTGCTGGCTGCGTGATGAAATATAATAGGGCGCAAATCATCCTGCCAAAGAGAAGATGAAATAGAGACTCAGAATTTGAAAATAATTACTTTTTTTTTATTAATTCTCTGAAGGAAACATGAAGTAAGGGGCATTTCCTCCAACTGAAAAAACATTCTGGGAGAAAACAATGAAAATGGTTTGGGGGGCACTGGAGACTTGGAGACTCATGGATTGACTTGTACATGGAAGTATAGCCAAAGATGCTAGGAGGCTTGAGGGATACTAGAGATGCAAATGAAACACTACAGAAAAATGGAGTTGGCAAAGGTTTAATCATTCAGTCAACTGATTAATATTTATTAAGCACCTACTACATAGCAGACACTGGGTGTGCTAGGGATACAAAGAAAGGCAAAAGACAGTCCCTGCCCTCAAGGAGTTTACAGTTTAATGGCTTTTGGAGAGGTAGCATGGAATCATGCTACCTAGGTTTGAACCCTGGCTCTGCCACTGCATAGGCAAGACACTAGAGTTCTCTGTGTCTCAGTTTCCTCATCTATAAAATTGAGGGGGTTAGTCTAGATCAGAGGTGTCACATTGGGGTCAGCAACACTCTGGAATGTAGCCTAAACCAGATTAAAATGTAATTAGGAAATATTTCACAAAATAAATAAAATTACAGTGGAACATAGATAATGTTAATATGAGGTTTTCTAAGTCAAAATATAGTTTAGAGGCCCTCCTTTCTATCTAAGTTTGACACTACTGGGCTAGGTGACCTGCGGTGTCCCTTAAAGCTCGGCGTATGCATATAATAAAGGGTAATGTTTAGAGAAGGTGACTTTGCAAAGGACTTTACCTACATGATCTCCCAGGGTGGAAGGGGGGAAGGGAAGAAAAAAAGAAATTTACATGATAATTTTATTACATATTGAAAGAAGATGGAAAAGGCAGGGAGAGAGTGCCAGGTTGTGGCAATTTTAAATAGCAAATAGAGGATTTTGTAATTGATCTTGGAAGAGGTAGGGAGCTCCTGGTGTTTTTTAGGTCAGATCTGTGCTTTAGGAAGATCAACAACAGAAGATAGACTGGAGAGAGGGGGGACTTTAGGCAGGCAGACCCACCAACAGATTATTGCAATAGTCTAGGCTTGAGGTGATGAGGACATCCACCAGGTTGGTGGCAGTGCCAGAGGAGAGAGGGCATATTTGAGAGATGTAATGAAGGTGAAATCAACAGGACTTGGCAGAAGATTGGATATGGAAGGTGAGAATGAGGAGTCAAGGGTATCACCTAGGTTGGGAAGCTTGGGGGAGTACTTATTAAGGAGCTACTGTGTTCCAGGTCAATTATATGCTAGAAGCTCGAGACACAGAGACAAAAATAAAACAAACCCTGTCCTCAGGGAGCTTATTGTCCACTGGGGAAGAAAAAAACGAGGAGTTAGTGCTTTTTCTACTTCATCTAATATTACATTGTTCATTTTAACACCTTTTGGTTAATGGAACTTGTACTTTTAATTCAAATTTAAAATAAGGCTATACATTATTTCAAGATGCATATAAACCTTGTGATTCATTGTTCACCTAAACCTATTGGATGATTACCTGTTAAGGAGGTTGTTAAGGGGATTTGTGATTTGTGTGGGTGTTGGAGATCTCTGTGTTCTTTTCCCATCTCTATGATAAACCTGGAGAGACAGATGATTTCTCATGTTTCCAGGTAAAATTGAATTCTTCCAGTTAAGACAATACACCTCTTTTCCTTCATTGAAGAGGGCAGGGGGTGGTGGTCTCTGGTATGGAATGCTGCATACACTGTCTGGTACATTCAATGTTTTCATTAGTTTCGCCAAATTGCTTTTCTCTTTCTTTTCAAATGTTCGTTATGAGGAATGACTTTCTGGGTGGGAAAAGAGGAAGAAAATATTAGGAAATGAATGTCATGTAAAAACAAAAGCCTTCAATTAAAAAAAGAAAAGAAAAAAATTTCTTTATACAAATAGCAAATCTCCCTGCCAAGAGATTCACTGAGGAACGGTTGAAGGTAGGGAGTAGGGTAGTATTGTACCAATTATAAAGCTGCACACTTTAAAAGCTGCAAAACCTCAGTCCTGCTCTCCACATTTTATCCTCAAATTGAAAAGGAACACTAGGGAGGGAAAGGAATTAATGACCCTTTAAATTGTATACATCTGTAATATTTGGAGTCTGAGAACAGCTGAAATCAGATGGGGTTCTACTTAAGCCCTTTCTGTTACAGATCACAGCTATAACAACATTCCCTAGCACAGTTAGCAGTAACTATAATGCCCTCTCCCCACTTTGGGTCTTGCCTCCAGATTCTCTATTCACTGGCAATCCATGATCCAGGGCTCCCTAATATTCTGGACTCACATGGACTGGGTCTGGTTCTTAGGTGCCCAACTCCAAAAAATAACTTAGTTTCTCTTTGGTTCATTGACCTTACCCTGGAATTTTATTCCAGGGAAATCTCCAAAGTAATGTTGAGGTACTGCTCATGTCTAGGTTTCTCCAGATGTGGGCAACAGGGTCTCTAATTTCTACAAATGTGCTTAGTGTTTTCAAAGCATATTGGGTATGGGACAACCCTTATTTTAGCTCATAGAAAATGCATAAGATGTAAAGGATGCACAAGATCCCATGAACACATACAAAAATCCCTAATCCCCCACCTCTTGCTACTTCTTTCCTGCCCCCCAAGTTACTTTGTATTCATTTATATACATTTTGTATATACCTAAATATATATGCATATATATACACATATACATATATAGGTATATATACCTAAATATATGTACATGTACATATATATATGTCTATGTGTATGTATATGTGTGTGTTATATAGATATATAGTATTTCCCCCAAAGAAAGTAAATTCCTTGGGAGAAAAGGCTGTATAATTTTTGTCTTAACAAATCTTTTCTGATTGATTGGTTAGAAACACAAAGCACCCACATAGTCCATTTGACTTCCCCCAAAAGGTAAATTCATTTTAAAATGGTGCTGAAAACCATCACCCTTCTGGTTGCCTTTCTCCATTTCAATGTTTTCATTAGCCTAGCAGCCAATCAATAAGCAATTATGAAGTATATACTATGAACCAAGCATTGTGCTAAGCACTAAGGATGTAAGAAAGGCAAAAAATAAAAACCAAAGGATGTGCCCTTTTCCCAGGACCTCACAGTCTAATGGGGTGGGGACAATATGCAAACAACTATGTACAAAGAGATATATGAAGGACAAATTAGGGATAGTCTCAGAGGGAGGAAGGCCCTGAGAATAAGGAGGATTGGGAATGGCTTCCTACTAAAGCAAGTAAGATTTGAAAGAAGCCAGGGAAGCTGGGAGATACAAGACAGGAGGGAGAGAGTTCCGGACAGGTGGGACAGCCAGTGGAAGTGGCTGGAATCTAGAGATGGGGTGTTTTGTGTGAGGAACAGTAAAGAGGCCAGTGTCACTGGATTGAAGGGTAGAGCAAAGTCCAAGAAGACTGGAAAGGTAGGAAGGAGCCAGGTTTTGAAAGGTTTTAAAAGACAAAGAGAGGATTTTGTGTTTGATCCTGGAGGTAAAAGGCAGTCACTGGAAATTAATGAATGGTAGAGATAATATAGTCAGCCTCGTACTTTAGGAAAAATCAGTTTGACAACTAAGTGGAAGAGGAACTGCATTAGTGAAGAGACTTGAGGAAGGGAAAGCAATTGAAGGCTTTTGCAATAATCCAGGGCTGGGGTGATAAGGACCCATACCATGGTGGTAGCACTGTCAGAGGAGAGAAGGGAGTATATATGAGAGATGTTATGAAGGGAGAAATAATGGTTCTTATTGGTTGCATTGATTGGCTGTAGGATGTATGAGAATGAGTTAAGGATAACATCTAGATTTTGAGCCTGCATGACTCACTGGGAGGATGGCATCCTCTAGAGTAATAGGGAAGATAGGAATAAAGGAAGGCTGGGGGAGAGGAAAAGATAATGAGTTCAAATTGGAACATGTTAAGTTTAAAATACTGTGGAGCATCCAATTCAAGATGTCCATTTAAGCAGCTGGAGATGCCAGACTGGAAATCAGGAGATATATTGGGCTTGGACAAATAGATTAAGAACCATCTGCATAGAGACAGTAATTGAATTCATGGGAGCTTATGAGATCACTAAATAATGTAGTCTAGAGGGAGAAGAAAAAAAGGGTCAGGACAGAACCTTGGGGGACACCTACAGTTAGTGGGAATTACAACAAGATTGAAGATTAGTGAGAGAATAAGGATGATATAGAAGGAGCAATCTGCTGGAAAGACAGGATGAAATGGGATCATTTGTACATGTAGAGGGGATTGCCTTGGAAAGGAAAAGGGTCACCTCTTAAATATGAAACAGGCATGAAGGAGATAGTAATGGAAAGCATCTGAGTGATGTGAGATGTAGAGGACTCTCCCAGTTAATGGCCTCAATTTTTTCAGTGAAATATGAAGCAAAGTTCTTAGTTGAGAGAATTGGGAGAGGGGATCTATGGGAGGTTTGGAGAAGAATGCAAAGATTTGTAAAAATCACTGTGGTCAGTGGGATGGCGGATTGATTAGAGAGCTATAGAAGGATTGCCTTGCTTAAGTGAGAGCCTATTTGAGATTATGTAATATAAACTCACAGTGGACCCATTCAGCATGGTTTTGTGATTTTCTCTAGCTTCATTCAGCAGCAAAGGGAATAGATGGTTGGAGTAATCCAAGGCTGATCTTTGGCAGGCAAGATCTTTGACAAGATAAAGGGGCAAGAGATTCTAGTGAAGAGGACAATGTAGAGTTGAACTGGTTCACCATTGGGTCAATATGGTGAAGGGAAGAGAGTGTAGCCAATCCGGAGGTAATAGCCTGGGAAAGAACTGAGAAGTAGAGAATCTGGGTGGTATGTTGAGCACAAAGAACAGGGTTTGGAGTTGCAAAGCAGAGGCATGAGTGACTTGACCACAGCCTGTGATCAGATAAAGGACTTTCAGAGTTCATGAACACAGATGTGAAACACTTCACTGAGGGCAGGATCAAGTACAGGACCATCTCTGTGTGTAGTAGTGGTAGGGTAGGTGAGTAGGTCATGGGGAAGGTTAGCATGTTTGAGTGTCAATGTGGATGTTGAAGTCTCCTAGCAGAACAGGAGTTGGGGAGGAGAAAAAGACTGAGCCACTCACTAAACTCATTGAGAAAGGAAAGAGGGTGTGCTGAGAAATTAGCAGACATCTCAAATCTTATTTGGGTGATAAATACGGATTAAATGAACCTCAAAGGAAGAGAGGTTATTCAGTAATGGTGGTAGAGGAAGAAACAGGAAGTGGCAATGGGGAGAAAGGAGAAAGAAAGATTCTAAATCTGCCACCCTCCCCTCCCCACAGTGAATTGGGGGTACACCCAGTGCTAGAAGGAGTAACCAAGGAAGCTGTTTCCTCTGGAGGAAGCCAGGTCTCAGTGAATGTAAGCAGACAGAGGGAAAGGGGGTGGGGTAGGGAGGTTTATAATGAAATTAGTTTATTAACCATGTTGCAGAAATCCCAGAGAGCATTGTGGAAGAAAAGATTGAGTAGCTTTAGAGTGTGATGTTGGGGTGGGGTGGGGCAAGACTGGATTGAAAGGGGTGGGAATAAGAGAGAGGACAGTTACAGTGCCCAAAGGTACAGCCATTTTGGGGCATAGAAGTAGATATATTTTAGTTGTGACTCTAAGGAAAGACCTCAATCTCATAGACAGACAACATAGTATAATGGATAAAGTGCTGATCTTGGAATATTGACAAACATTACCACTGACATTTCCTAGCTGTGTGATAATATGTACGTCACTTAACCTATTAGTTTCTTTGCCCATAAAATGAGAATAATTATACATATCTGGTAGGATTATTGTGATGGTTATTGAGATAATGTCTATCTAGTGTTTTCTAAACCTAAATGTCAGTTATTATTATTTTTTGTTAGTTGGTAACATGATACCAAATCAACTTTGAGAATAAGGGTTCTTAACCTGGAGTCCATGAACTGGTTATTTAAATATTTTGATAACTAATTTCAATACAATTTGTTTCCTTCAAAATCATGGGTATTTTATTTCAGGCATTTTTTAAAAAAGACATTTTTTTCTGAGGAGTCCATAGTCTTCACTAGACTGCCAGGAGGGTCCATGATATGCAAAAAAAAGTTAAGAATCCCTGCTTTAGATATATTTTTTCCCTAGGAGGTTTTCCTGTTCACAGCTAATACATTTATAATGGAGGTGAGGCTGAGGAAGCAGGTTGGGATTTAATTTTACCTCCATCAAAGAGGGTTCATTTGCTGGCAAAATTTTAGCTATAACCCATGGCCCAGAACTACAACTCTGCATTATACAAACAAGGTTCAACCTTGGGAGTCTCTCAAAAATATCTCTTTGGCTTAAGACACGCCTCCCACATTTTCCCCTGAGAACACTTGGATTTTGGCCTTTTCACCCCACTCAAGGAATTCCTCCGGCAATATCACTATTTGTTCATGTCAAAGTCTCTACAAAAGTGGAAAATAGGACAGGTTTTATTCCATCCAATATAACAATAGCTAGTATTTTTATAGTGTCTGCTATGTGCCAGGTACCGGGGCACTGTGCTAAGCGTTTTACAGATGTTAACCTTATTTGATCTTTTACCATTATCTCAGTATAAAAGCAAACCAGAAAGGACCCAAATCTGAGCCCAACAAGGAAAATAATTCTCCTTTGCTCTTCACCTTCACCCAGGGAAGGTGTTCTCCAGGGTTAATAATACACTGGTTTTGCCCACCTCCATATTCCCCACAAAAAGAAAAACCCAGGTGAATCATCCTCTTTCCCTCTAGTGAGACCCACCTTCCCAGAAACTTCAAAGGTCCCTAGGGTTACTTCCATACTAATAAGTGCTAATCTAAATGAGCATTGCCTCAGTGGGGAAGGGACTCAAGGTTGTTAGAGTGTCAAGCAACCCTTGGATCATAGATTTAGAACTGAAAGGAAACTTAGAAGACTGTAGTTCAACTCCTTCATTTTACAGATGAAGAAACTGAGGCCCAGAGATAGATTTTGGAATATCCTGAATGTTGATTTTTGTAAAGTATTGCTGAATTTAAAGGTACCAGTGGTTGGGCAAATGAGATCAGCAGGCTGAACATCATGTTTATGCAAAGTAAGGGAGGAACCTGTCCTGGTGGGGTTAAGGATGAGAGTGTCTAGTGATGGATGGAGTTTCATCTGGCACTCCTGCCCTAGGGTCTACAGCTGCAGGGAGAGTCTGAGTTCTGGTTTCTTTTGGACCTAAGCCAAAGCATCACGAGACTCACCTGCAATTCGAGGGGCAATTCCCCACCATGAAGTGTGTGGGAAATAGCTTGAAGTAAAGGAGTCAGGAAAGGAAGACTGATCTGAAAGAAAATGAAAGAGAAGCAAAATTGTGGCCAAGGTCGAGAGAGATGCTAATAGGGTGTTCTCCAATCAGTATATGACAGCAGCTAGGTGGCGCCATAGTGCATAGAGTGCTGTGCCTGGAGTCCAGAAGACTCATCTTCATGAGTTCAAATCCAGCCTCAGACACTTACTAGCTGTGTGACCCTGAGCAAACTCACTTAACCTTGTTTGCCTCAGTTCCTCATCTAGAAAATGAACTGGGGAAGGAAATGGCAAACCATTTCAGCATCTTAGTCAAGAAAATTCCAAATGGGGTCACGGAGAGTCAGATGCAACTGAAAATGATTCAGCAACAACAATAATCAGTATATGACAAGAAATCTTCCAGTATCTAAATTTGCATTCATAGAGGGAAAATTTCCTCTTTGGAATCAATGTTGTAATAGTAGCTTACACTGAGAAGCAAGATGGCATAGAGGGTAAGGCACTGGCTATGGAATTAGAAAGACCTAGGTTCAAATCTTACCTCGAACATTATTTAGGCAAGTCACCTAGATACCATTTCATCTCAACTTCACCCCAACAATTGAATAAGAGGGTTGGGCTAGAGAGATTGAAAAGTCTCTTTTAACTCTAAATCTGATCCTATTATTTAATTCTTTGGAACCTATAATACTCACATAACTCTCAACAGCACTGGGAGAATATTGGTGTCAAAAAGATGGGCCTTTGTTTGAGGGAGAAGTTGGGATCACTAAAGGAACTTGGCAGTTTCTCAGAGGTAACCCAATCTGTTCTCTTTTTATTTAATTCTGATGCCAACTCATTGACATTTTTGATATCTGCCCAACCTTGACCCAGACTCGTTGTACCATACTGCTGTTCACAAAGCTTGTGATTCAATCAAAATGGACTTTTCTGGGGAAGTCCTGCCTGGGGAAAGTCTGCCCCTAGAAGTCTGGCTGATGCAGGCATTTGGGAATCAAAGGCATACCAGAGGTCTGTCTGGCTTTCCCCTTCAGCAGTGGGGAGAGTTCCCATCTGCCATTCATAATTTTACCCCTTCTCTCTGGCCTAGCTCCATCTTTATTTCTCCACACATGTCACATCACAGGCTCAGAGGTTTCTCAGCCACTTAAGAGTTAAATCTCCAAAGGCAGAACATCCCAGGACTTCCCTTCAGTGCTGCCCAGCCCATCAGGCTAGAGATGTTGAATTTTCATTAAATCTGTCATTTCCCAAAATCATCAGGCTGTGCCAATTTTCGTTGGCCCAAAACATTAGTAGTGGCTTCTCAATGTAAAAAGTTCTACTTTTCTCACTCCCAGTAATTATCACCTCCTTTGATCAGCAGGCTAAAAGAACTGTGTCTTTACCTTGGGCACACAGGATTGGTCCCTTTTTCTCCCACATCCCCCACACAGCTTCCCATGAAACTACACATAGCCCAGGAATCAGAGGTTTAGAGCTGAAAAATAGCAGAGGGTCTTCTGATACCAATCCTCTACTATATGTTGGTATTCTCTCTATTTTGAAAATAGTATATTATTTTTTCCAATGACAACTAAAGACAATTTTTAACATTCATTTTTAAATAGTGTTTTGCATTTTTCCAATTACATGTAAAGACAATTTTTGACATTCTTTTTTAATAAAATTTTGAGTTCCAAATTTTATTCCTCCCTCTGCCCTAAGATGGTAAGCAATTTGATGTAGATTATATATATGCAATCATTTAAAATGTATTTCCATATTAGTCATGTTATGAAAGAAGAATATGTTGGTATTCTCAGTGAACATAATATTGAATTCTTCTAAGGCTTACTCTAATTTCTTTAAAGTCCTGCGTTGGTAAGAAAAAGACTGATTTTCACAATTATGTTATCATAATCATCGTCATTATCAAAGCTTAAATCAACATGTAAATGTTAGCTATAATAGCTGACATTTATAAAGAACTTTTAAGTTCAATTCAATTCAATAAACATATATTAAGTATCTACTATTTACTGGGCATTCTCCAAAACACTGGGGATGCAAATAAGAAAAAGAAAGTGTGACACATAAAAAATTTGAGAGACAAAGGTTTTGGGTAATTAATTAGTCATTTTATTAATCATCCTAGCATCTAATTAATAAAAGGAGTCAGTAACACTCTCAAATGTCAGAGACCCTTCATGGTACCCATTCAACAATTATATGCTCTTGGAAGAGTGGGTGTTCCTGAGGGCGGCAATCAACTCTGATTGGTTAATAATTAATAAAAAGAATGAATATTATAATGAGAGGTAGGCTTATTCTAATGAGGTGCTGGGCTCGTGACTGATCACTCAGTCTTGGTCAAAGAGACTTATCTATCCCCACCTCACCCTGCCTAGAGTAATCTAGACAAAAGGGAGAATCCACATTTTCCCAAACCTGTCTGAGTGAAACACAATGGGCCAGAATCCATCAACTCACCTAAACTAAAATTTCTTTACTTTTTGAACAGATCTGAGTTTTCCTTCTCTTTAACAGCCCTCTACTTCAAAGGCTGCCTGAGTAACCTACAGGGGCTGATTTTTGGATGAGGAAGTAGAAAATGGGAAAAACCTTGGTTCTAATTCAATAGTTGTTTATTAGTATAAGAGAGAAATAATCATTTCTCTGAAAAGATAGCCCTTGCCCTCAAGGAGCTTACAGTCTAATGGGGAAAGGCAACACACAAAACATAGATGAAAAAGGGGTGAGTGGGGAAACAGTACATCGGGGGTATGATGTTCTGGGGAGTCCAAACCAAGCAGGAAACTGATAGAAAATGAAGAATTACCTAGTAGGGGCTGATCTATAAAGGAAGGCTTTGGGAAGAGTTAAGTGCCTCACCCTCCAGGCTTCAATCAGAGGGGAGAGACAACTGAGAGCTTTGTGAAGGTGTTGAGTATCAAAAGCTGGGTCAATTTGCACAAAGATGAGATTTCAGGTAATCAGTTTATCTAGGGTGAGGCATGGTAGTCTACAAAGGAGAAACCAAGCAGAGTTGCTGATGGAAAATTTTAGAAAGTGTTTTACATACATGATCTTCTTTTTGAGCCACACTTAGCCCAGTGAGGTAGGTACTACAAGTTTTATTACTCCCATTTTACACATGAGGAAACTGAGTCAAAGAGGTAAAAATGACTTGCCTGCTTATGGGGCCCCAAGAACTCAGAATCTCCTTCTCATTGGAAGTGCTAGAACAAATGTCTAATGAATCATAATCTACTCCAAAAATCAAGGGCGATTCACTATCTTTTCTACCATTAGTGCTAGGTTGTACCCTTCCCATGAATTGTTTTAGCATGAACAGATATTTGACAGAGCTGTGTGGAATCTAACTCTTGGAAAAAAAAGTTGCCAGACTAGGTTTGGTTAATGTGGTTCTGATCAGACCATCGTGTTGGTTGGAGTTTATGTGGATTTGGCACTGATAGTGTTCCGGATTTGACCAGAACCATCCAGTTGAGCCCAACTTAAAAGCAGAACTAGAAATTTGGTTACACTTTTGTATGTTGTTTAACAGCTTGGTGAATGTTCAAGGTGCCACCACAAATGTTTCCCAAGAAAGGGAGACCACAAATTGTGTGGTATTGATGATCTTTGCCACATTGGTCCCAAGCTGATGACTTGTTTGATTCTAGGCCAAGTCTACATGCAAAACCACATTGTTTTACGGAGGGAATACACACATACACACACACAAAACCTGGAATTTTAAGTGAGAGACAAAGGCTTGTACTATGGTAATTCTTTTCCCCATAAAACTCAAAGGTCATTCGTTGAATAAATAGGCACTTCTTGTTATTGTTCAGTCATATTTGACTCTTTGTGACGGTCACTTGGGGTTTTCTTGGCAAGATACTGGAGTGGTTTTCCATTTCCCTTCTCCAGCTCATTTTACAGAAGAGGAAATTGAAAAACAGGATGAAGTGACTTGCCCAGGGTCACACAGCTAGTAAGTATCTGATGCTGGATTTGAACTCAGGTCCAAACCCAGAGCTCTATCCACTGTGCCCCCTAGCTGCCCCAGACATTTATTAAGCTCCTACTATGTGTTGTGGCAGGCATTGTGCTTAGCACTGGGGATACAAAGAAAGGCAAAAGACAGTCCCTCCTCTAATCTAAGGGGAAAGGCTTGGAAAGGATTTAAATGAAATCCACCAGTGTCGGACTGGTGCTTGAATGAGAATCTAGACTGCTTTCAGTTCCAAAAAAATCTCTGCACAGAGAAAAGAGTTTATTTCATGTCACTTGGCAAGTGCTGTTGATTGAGAGGCAGTTTGGTATGTATAGAGGAAGGAGTGTCAGGGTTTAAATCCCAGCTCTGACACTCACTCACTAGCTGTGTAACTTTGGCAATTCATTTAACCTTTCTGAATCTCAATTTCTCTGTGGGCAAAATCAGGATTGGTATGCCTGTTACACCTACATTCCAGGGTTGTTCTAAGACTCACATGAGTTAACATTTGTAAAATGCTTTGAAACTTTTAATGCCCCATATAAATGCCAGCTATTAGTGTCCTAAAACCTTTTCCAGAGGTCAGTTTGGAAACACTGGAAAATATTTTCGATGAATCATAATCTCTCCAGAAAAGCAAGAAGAATGCACTAAAAATACCTCTTTTTTTCCCCCCTGGGGCCTTTGGGTGCAGTTCAGGTGCTCATGATTTGGATTCATTGTACATATATTTTTAATGTCAAAAGATGGATTTGTTATTTTACTTTGTCCCCAAGACAGGAAAATCCTGTCTCTAATAGCAAACAGAAAGGGGGATAAAACAGAGAATAGCTCTCAGAAATGGTTTCCAATGTTTCTTTCTAAGATCAGCATCTATTCACAAGCCCAAAATCTGCTAGAGAAGTAACATCCAAGTCCCTCTGTCGAATATTGTCTGCATTCTTTTTCTGAATAGCAAAGGGAAAAAGTTAATTAGCTTCGGAGTGAGTGCCTTTCAGATTGAGAGTTGAACCTGCCAAGAGTTGTCAGCGTCAAGGGCTATGGAAAATTTCCTTCTTTCCCACTAAGGCCTGTTATGGTTTTAGAGTTCTTGTTCCCTATACCTCATCAAAGAGAGGGGAACAGTAGCTGCCGTTCAGATCATTTCTTGTTTCCAAAGCACAGCCTTTGACTGGTTTCAATCTGCCCTGCCCTAAAGAGCAAACAAAAAAACCTAAACAACTGGTTCCAGGCTTTGAATTGTCTGCACATGGAAAACCATTGTCCTTCCACTGGAGAGGAATCAAGTACATCAAAATCTAATTCAGAATTGGCAGGATTTTGAGTTGGGGCTGGGCTTCCATTGACCTTTTAACACTATCTGTGGGGAAAGATTAACCCCAAAATTTGAGACTGTGAACATGATTTCAGAATCATCCTGCCATGTAGTACAATGTAAAGAGGGCCATGTCTGGCCCAAGCCAGAGGACCTGGGTTCAAATTCGGATTCTATTACTACCTGTGTGACCTTGAACAAATCACTTAGCTTTTCTAGGTTCCAGTTTCCTCAAAAATAGTTAGCGTAGATAATCTCCATAAATCTATGAGCCTATCATCTCTCAAAAATGGAAAATTTAGAATGATTTAAGTGGTTAAACAACATGCTAATTACAAAGTATTATTCATTAAAGAAGGTCTGAGGGCAAGCCATCCGAGCAACACCTGGGATGGGACCTCAGAGAAGGGAGAGATTAGAGTGGGCTCAGGAAAGACTTGACTTGGAGGACATTGGATTTGAATCAGGCCAACAAACATTGTCTAAATGGAGGCAAAGAGGGTCAAGACTGAAGAGTCCCTGTAAATAAGCCAACTTACATGTCCATCCAGGCTTCTGGCACCAAGCACTCCTCAGGGTGGTCAGGCATTCCTCACTTTGTAGTCTGGGGATCTCCAGCTGCAGTCAGTTTCATATTCTGCAGGTGCAGCCCCCAGGGTCCCAGCAGGGCTGCTGGGGGTCATGGCTAGTAGGAAAGAGTCTGAACCATTGTGCTTAAGGAGCTGAAAGGCCCAGTCAGGCCAGTCAGAGGAGAAAGGGGGAATTCCTGCCAGGTTCTCCCTTTCACTGAAAGCCCAGCAGAGAAACTGCACCTTTAACTCTGGGAAGCCTGCAGCTGCAATGAGAGAGAAAGAATCTCCATCAATAAAAGGCCTTGTGAAATACAAACTAGAGAGTCACTTGCCTCAAATAGTCCTGTTTAATCATGCTGAATGCCTTCTGGGCATCAAATAAGATTGCAACAGCTGGTGCCTCCATAGCTGAGCAGCCTGAGTTCCATTACCAACCTCTCCGGCCCTCAGCTTAGTTCTCTACTCTTGTCTGAATTTGTCTGATTTCTTCCTACTCAGCTGCCCCAAAGGTTTCCAGCTGTATCATGAACAATGGGAGCAGAAGAGGTGAGTTTTCATGATAGCGTATTGTTCCATCTGCCTTCTTGTAAGACTGTGTCTGAGAAACAAGTTTTCCCTTAGAGATGAAGCTTTCCCTTTTCAGAATATGTCTTAGTATTTCTTCAGTTAGCACATTCTTCTCACTCAATAGATATCCATTCACAGTTTGCTTCCTACATACGTACACTGAGAGATTGTCGATATACTATCCTGAGTATGTGATAATGATAAACTACACCAGGGCTTCTTCATTTTTTTTTGAATCATAGACCTTTTTGGCAGTCTATTGAAGCTTATGTAGATCCTCTCTTAGAATATTTTTTTCAATAATTTTTCAATTTTTCAATAATTTTCAATAGTTTTTCAATAATTGAAGACATAATTGAAGAACATACTCAATTTCAGTTAGAGGTTAGTGAAATATATATATGTATGTGTGTATATACATACATATATATATACACACATATATATATTTCCCATCCAAGGTCATGGGCTCTCTGAAATCTATTCATGAACCTATGGATCCCAGATTAAGAACCCCTAAACTATACTGTCATAAAATTATAGATTTAGAGCTGCAAAGAGACTTAGAAACAATCAAATTAGCCCTCACCCCATTTTACAGATGAAGGTATTGAAGTGAAGTTAAGATTCAAACTCCAAATCTCTGAATCCAAATCTAGTGTTCTTATTGACTAATTGACTAACTGACTGGTTGGTGAATCAGACTACCCAAGTTTGAGAAGGCTCATAACCAGGTTGGCCCAGTAAATAGCTATAGCAATACTTAAAGACCATCTTCTAAGTTTGCCATCTGCATGAGGCGAGATGGTGGGGAGGAAGGAGCTTCTGCATTGGGAAGTCATTGATCTTTGAGGTAGTGAAATATTCTAAGAAAACTGTGACCTTTACCTGTCTTCTCCAGGGAGACATTCCTTGGAAATTTCACCCCCTGCAAGGCCTTGGTGGTGTTGTCAGGGACCATTCTTGCCTTCTAGTAGAGATGTCCCTCCTTAGACACTCTTTGAAGAGCCTATGCATTTGCTCAGGTTTAGACCTGAGACTAGAGTTGTATCTCCTATTTATAAAGGGCCACGTTCTCTGAAGAATTAAAGTGAAGAGTCATCCAAAGGGTGATAAAGAGGCACAAGATGGGGGTGAAGAGGCTGCAACCCTTTGCCAACCAAGAAATGCACAAGAGAAGTAGTATAAGAATCCATGAGGGATGATCTATGATGGGAAAAGTAAATGAACCAGGCGTGTGCTCTGAATGATTTATAGGTCTGACTAGCTCATTCACCTCTGTGGCTCCCTATTGTCTCTAGAAGAAAAAATTAGCTCCTCTTTTTGGCATTTAAAACCCTTCACAATTAGCCTTCAACCTACCTTTCTAGGACAATCATACCTTATTCTTCCTAATGTACTCTACATTCCAGCCAAACTGGCTCACTTCCCATTGCCTGGACATTACATTCCATCTCTTGCCTCCATGCCTTTGCATAGACTGTGCCCCATTCCTAGAATGCTCTCCTGTCTCACCTTCACTTCTTCAAACCTCCAGGAATGGGGGTTGTAGAGTTACACAAAGGCAAGGAGGAGGGAGAAGGAATATTATGAATGGAAGAGGTAATTTGTTGGAATTGATGCTTGGGTAGTGCTACTACTTCAAGCTTCAATTAAAGTGCCTTCTCCTATAAGGGACCTTTCCTAATTTCCTTGGTTATTTATTAGTGGTTGTGCCTGATCCCCCAAGAAAATTACCTCGTGTTAATTTTGTATGTATTTTGCATTTATCTGCACACATGTTGTACTTTCCCTTCCCCCCTTCCCACCTCAGTAAGTTGCTTGAAGGCAGATACCCTTTCATTTTTGTCTCTGTATTCTCAACACCTAATACAGTGCCAGACAAATAGTATCTACTAAATAAATCCCTGTTGAATGGAATGGGCTGAAATTGAATCCATATACTATAAATAAAATTAGAGGAAGGACCCTAACATGTTGGATGAGCCCTCTAATACTACATAGAAGACTTGTAAGAAGGAATGGATAAGAATCACATACTATTAGAGGATATGGGGAGGATGTGATATCCAATGTTGAGGGAGTAATCACTTAAATTACAGATCTATTTAAATATCCAAAAAATAGGAAGGAGATAGTCTCTCTCTTGTTGTGAACTTTCTCTTACAAATAGTTCCATATAGAAACATTGCCAGGTCTGCTTCATTTTTCATCTATTATTGTCTTTTTGCCTCTGTTGATAAATCCCTTTTGGATTTGTTCTCATGCCAAGCTTTCTAAAAACTTCTTTCTCCTCCCACAGCTCTTCTCTTTGTTGTGAGGTGATATTGCTTATGATCTTTCACCATCCTCCTTTGTAATATTTTGAAAAGGTGTATTCTAAATAAGAGTAATCTTTCACTGCCATCTCTTCACTTGACAAGGAGAACAAAAATCAGGTGACTAAAGAAGTTCCTGGGCTCTTTTGGCCTCTTTGTTGTGGCGATTGTTTTATGTTGGTTAAATATCTGTAGAAAATGATGATTATCAGAATCAATGTCTTTCATCTTCTCCATTTCCCATTTTCAACATCAATAGCTTGTCTGAATAGGTCAGACTGGAGATATAATAACTGTGCAATGTCTTCATCTCACTTCTATCCTCTTTTATAATTTGTCATTCTGTTCATTTTACCTTTGCTAGAAGACACAATTGATGTAAAAATGACTCTGATTTGTAATGTCATATCTTATCAATTATGATTTGCTTAATTTCATTTTTTTGTGATAATTGTTCAGTTCTTGCCCCGTCTGTGATCTTTCAACTCTCATTTTGAAAAAAAATGTTTATGATATCCAAGTGGAAGCCTTTTGAGCATTTGACAAGCCATTCGCATCTATCATTTCTTAATGCTGAACCATACTTCCTAACATACTTTCTATTCTCCTGGTATCCATCTGCATAGTGAAGTCACTGAATATCAACATCTAGGTTGACTTAATTTGAAGGATCTTGTCAAGTGTCTCACAGAATTTCTTTACCACCTCATCTTCTGCAGCAGAAGTTGATATGTAAATCATAATTATTAGTCTTTATGTACTCTCATCATGAACACTGCAAGGCAAGCTGAGCAAGTAGCATGTGAAATGATGATCTCACTGCTTTTGGATACAGGATGAAAATAAATCAACCAACTTCTTTCTTGGCTTTTCCAAAAGCCTGTAAGCTATCCCACAATTCAGCTGTACCTTCCTTTTGTTTTCTCGCTTCATTTATAGCATGAATATCAATAGGGATATGATTCAATTCATATAATTTGATAAAAGAAGAAATTGAGGACTTAGGAAGATTAAGTGACTTGTCCAAAGTCACAGAGCTAATAAGTGTCAGAGGTGGAATTTGACTCCAGGGTCTCTGACTTCAGTTCTTCCAGTATTATGTCTATTCCAGGTCAAACAGTTAAATTAATGGTTCTAGGTAGTTTAAAAACTGTGTGGTTCTTAACCCCCTTAGTCCACCTTTCTGCTATGCCCACCAGTTGCGAGTGCCCTCCTTTTTTCCCCTAGAAATTTCTCTGTAAATATAAAATTTGCATACATTATATATTGACTTACATTTTCCCTAAATAAAACAAACTTTTTGAGGTCAGGCACTGTTTCATATTTCTCTTTGTATCCCTAGCACTTGTCATAGTGCCTGGTATATAGCAGGCACTTAACAAATGCTTGTTGAATGAATGAATGAATGGCAAGTAGGCAGCTCAAGTGCTTTCTGTAACTACACAATTTTGAAAGATCTAGCCCTCCAAAGGGATCCATGACATGCACAAAAATAGTTAAGTATCCCTGATCAAGAAGAAGGCCCTCCATCACGTTGGATGAACGAATCCTATTTTGAAGACCATTGGCAAGACATAAACAATAGTCACACAGAAGAAGAAAGCATTGAGGGAAGAGGAGCAGGGGAGAATTGCAATCTCCACTAATGGAGGGAGCGCATCCATTAATGAGATTATGGACCCATTAAAGAATTGTAATACTACATAGCTCTGAGAACTCATAAAGAGATCTCCCCTGAGGGCATCCACCTTAACATTTTTGCAATATTCCATTTCATCAAACAACTCAAATCAGTCATCTTTTGTCTTGTTTAAGTGAAAAAGTCAGGGAACTAGATTGCATGGCTTTTTTTTAAAGTGAAGTTTGGAAATATATTCAGTCAATTTAGGCAGGGCCCCAAAATACCCATCATACAGTAATTGTTCTCCATCCATAACAAGAATGGCATCTCATTTGGAGGCTGACCATCTCATCATTTTTTTTTGACCATGCTCTTTACTCAGTGGGAATCTTTAATCTAGTGAGGAAAAAAAAAGACAACTTCAATTTTAAGAATTCTGATGTTTCCCTAACATCTCTGGCAAACGACCCTTTATCTGCTCTTATGTGAATCCGGGTTAGTTTCAGCAATGAGAATGCTCAAGATTTTAATTCACTGATTCAGCTAGCCTTTATTAAGTATCTCTTGTGAACCCAACCTTAGTCAGTACTGGAAGAATGAAATTTGGCATTCAGAGACATCTGGCACTGTGAAACTTTTTCTCCCAATTCATTTGACTGAGGATGGAGCCAAATGCTCTTGGTTACATCATTTGCATCTTATCTTCGATTTATTCACTCTTGAGTACCTCTGGGAAGGTTCAGTTTTGATG